TACTCAAGGCTTTAATGTCAATTGTTGAGGGCTGCAGCCATCCACTTGTTTAATGAGTTTCCACATTGTGTTTGCCAAGACTGTTTTCCTTGTCAAGTATGCTTATTGAAGTCACTGTTTTGTTATCTTCGCAGTAGACTAGTGACCTGAAAGAGATTTCCTTAAACGCCTAGAGACAGAAAAGAAAAAGAAAAACACTCACAAAACCACAAGCCCCTGCATCTGCGCTTCACATTCTGGCTCTAAGCTAGGACACTCCTTCAATGCTAAGCCAAGCTGGTGGCAACCCTACCTTAGCCTTCACTTCTTGCTCATGTGGAGTCCAAAGATCAGCCACAAGTGTAAGTCCAGGATCCTCTCAAGGCTTTTCTGATCATGCATCTGGGCCTGTGCATGTATACTGTACTCCAGATTCCCCAGTACATGCTGTAGCCCTCCAAAGCTCTTATTCCCCCAAGAATCTTCCTCCTCATTCTCAGGCTTTTGCATCTAGCTCTTGCTTGCCTCATCCTCCATTTCTTCCCCAGGCAGCAGTGGATAGTTCATGTCTTTAAATATTTCCATCAGATCCCGTGCAGGAAACTCTCCAACCCGAGGAGTTCAAATTAAGGGTCAGCCTCTATGTCAGTCTCTTACAGCAGGGGTCCCCAACCCCAGGGCCATGGACCAGTACTGGCCAATGGCCTGTTAGGAACTGGACTGCACAGCAACAGGTGAGGGGCCAGCGAGTGAAGCTTCATCTGTATTTACAGCATTCCCCATTGTTCCCATTACCACCTGAGCTCCACCTCCTGTCAGATCATCAGCAGCATCAGATTCTCATAGAAGCACAAACCCTACTGTGAACTGCACATGCAAGGAATCTAGGTTTTGCATTCCTTATGAGAATCTAATGCCTGATGATCTGTCACTGTCTCCCATCACCCCCAACTGTCTAGTTGCAGGAAAACAAGCTCAGGGCTTCCACTGATTCTACATCATGGTGAATTGTATGATTATGTTACTATATATTAAAATGTAATAATGATAGATATAAAATACACAATAAATGTAATGTGCTTGGATCATCCTGAAACCATCCCCCGTCCCAGTCCATGGAAAAATTGTCCACAAAACCGGTCCCTAGTGCCAAAAAGGTTCGGGACTGCTGCCGTAGGGAATGCAGAGATGCAGAGACTGGTTGAATGCATAACCAAAATATTTTGAGAACACAGTCATATTGCTCATCCGGGGACCAGAAGCTGCATCAGAACACAAGCCACCATCCACGAGAGTACCACTGGCTGAGGAGTAGGGGATGCTAAATGGGCAAGCAATCCCCCCACAATTCTTAGCAAAATCCAGCTGCCTCTTTCTTTATTAAGCACTCCTTGGTTGACTTAAATGTTTTATTAGACTCCAGAGTCTGAAATGTCGACTCTGTCCATTTTCCCCACTTAATGGTTGCTTCAGTAGAAGGACCAATTCTTGGAGTTCCCTATTCTGCTAATTTTGTGATGTCACTTCTGTTGCAACTACTTTAGAAAATAATTTCGAAAACAAATTTCTTCAGATTTATGAAGTAAATCTGTAAACCAACAATTCTACTCTTTGTTGGTATTCTAGAGCTGTGGTTCTCAAATGGGGCAATTTTGCCACTCTGTGGACATTTGGAAATGCCTGGAGACATTTTTTGATTTTCACAACTGGGGTGCGTCATTAGCATCTAGTGGGTAGAGATCATGGATGTTGTGAAACATCTTACAATGCACAGGACTGCCCTCTCCCTCTAACCTCCGGCAATAAAGAATTATCTGGCCTAAATGCTAAAGCTGAGTGCTAAGATTGAGAAACCCTCATCTAGAGAAATGTGTCCATGTATACTAGGAGAATGCTCATAGCTTCATCATTTATAAGAGTCCTAAATGGGAAATGACTCAAATGATCCAAATGCTTATCAACAGTCGAAGGGATAAATATATTCTTGTGTGCATTCAGTGAGATACTTTATAGCTATAAAAATGAAGTACAAACATTTATAAATAACTACAAGAAAGTACTAGGCACAGTGGCATGCACCTGTAGTCTCAGCTGCTGAGGAGACTGAACTGAAGGATCACTTGAGCCCAGAAGTTCGAGGCTAACCTGGGCAACACAGCCAGACCCGCCACCCACCGACTTCCAAAAAACAAAAATAAAACAAATAAAGAAATGCAAGAAAGTGATTTCCATAAATTTCAGGACAATGATCACCTATAGGGGAAAAGTTGCGGGGGGAATTCAGATTAGTAGAGTACACATAAGCATCATCTGGGCTGCTGGCTATGTTCTATTTCTTGAACTGGGTAATGTTTATATAAGTGTTCACTTTTTAAAAAAGTACATTTGTATTCTATTACTTTTATTTATATTATATAATAAAAAGATAAAAATAAAGTCTGTCAGTAATTACAGTATTTATTTTCTATTACACTCCCTACTGTATCTAGTCATATTCTTATTTGGATGGTCAAACTGATCATACAGTCCTAGGATAGATGTTCATTCAGTCAATCACCAATATTTATTGAGCATCTACTATAAGCTAGAAACTGTTCTATACACTAGGAATACAGAATGGAACAAGATAGACATCTTGCATTCCAGAGTGAGGAGACAGGAAGTAATAAACAAAAAGGTAAAAAAGATCATTTTGAGGGGGGCTAAGTACTTTGAGAACAAGACAGAGTTAAATGAGAGAGGCTGACTGAAGTGAGAGTGACTGGGGTGGGATATTTTAGGTTGGTAAAGGTTTTTGTGAAGCTGACAGTTGGGGTGGTAACTGATCTGTACCAAGTGAAGGAAGGGGCTATGTGAAGTTCTGCAGGAAGAATATTCCACATAAAGGAAGCAGGTATTATTGAGGCTTTTAAGTACAAAAGTATTTGACATGTTTGAGGAACCCCAGGAAATAAAAGTGTGGCCAGTGTGGCGTGAATGAGGGAAGAGTGGCAGGAGATGGAGTTGGTGCAGAGGGCAAGGCCTCCATCATGTACCATTTTGATAGACCGTGGAAAGCATTTGTATTTTTTTCTTTTCCTTTTCTTTTCATTGTTTTGGAGATGGAGTCTTGCTCTGTCACCCAGGCTGGAGTGCAGCGGTGTGATCTTGGCTCACTGCAACCTCTACCTCCCGGGTTCAAGCAATTCTCCTGTCTCAGCCTCCCAAGTAGCTGGGACTACAGGCGCCTGCCACCACACCTGGCTAATTTTTGTGTTTGTAGTAGACACGGGTTTTTGCCATGTTGGCCAGGCTGGTCTCGAACTTCTGACCTCAGGTGATCCTCCCACCTTGGACTCCCAAAGTGCTGGGATTACAAGTGTAAGCCGCCACGCCCAGTCTGTATTTTTTCTAAGTGTGAGAAGCCACTGAAAATGCTGCTGTTGTGTAGGATGCAGGGGGGAAGACATGGGGTCATAGTCCACTTGTGCTGCTGTAACAAAATACCACAGGACTGTGTAATTTATGAACAATGGAAATTTATTTTTTACAGTCCTGGAGGCTGGGAAGTCTCAGATCAAGGTGCTGGCAAGTTTGATGTCTGGTGAGGGCTGCTCTCTGCTTCCAAGATGGTGTCTTGTTGCTGCATCCTCTGGAAGGTATTGCTGTGTCCTCACATGGCAGAAGGGATGGAAAGGCAAAAAGAGGCCAAATTCACTCCTTCAAGCTGTCTTATAAGGGCATTAATCCCATTCACGAGGACAGAGATCTCATGGCCTACTCCCCTCCTGAGGCCCTCCCTCTTCCTAAAGCTGTCACATTTGATGTGTTTTTATATAATGTTTGGAGGGGACACAAATATTCAAATCACAGCACCTATGGAGATGAACTGGAGTGAGACAGCAGTGGTTGTGAGGTGGAGGTGTAGACTGGTTAGGTTGAGAATTTAAGGTGGGGTCAAGAATATGTCTTAATGGACTGGAAGTGAAATGTGAGGAAACAGAGGAATCAAGGACAATTCCTAGGTTTTTGTCTTAATGATCAAGGGACTTAATGATAGTAGGGACTTTTGCTTTAAGGAAGACTGGGGTGTGAGTAAGAAACTTGGATCAATAGGTTTATTTGGGCCGTATTACAGCATCGTGTCTATTAGGCATTCTAGGGGAGTTGTCAGGTCAGCTTTTGAATACGATTCTTCTTCACAGATTTTTTTTACATTTTAAAATTCTTTTTTTAAATAACTTTATTTTTGTTGTTGTTGTCTTTTTTTTTTTTTTTTTTTTTTCCTGCTTCTAACGCACCAAGCACATTCTGTTTTTCTTTATTTTGTAGAATCAGCCAGGCTGGTCTCAAACTCCTGACCTCAAACAATCCTCCTGCTTAAGCCACTGAAAGTACTGGGATTACAGGTGTCAGCCATCACACTGAGTCTTCTTCATAGAGTTAATGGGCTGGATGTGAGGACATCTAGAGTTCCCTTCAACCATATTCAAAACATTCAACAAATTGCCAGTTGATTCAATGAATTACACAACATGCACAGAATGCTATTTCATGAAGTGGCATGCAAAGATAATCATTTTTAATCTAAAAAAGTAGATTATAAAACAGTTACCTACGGTTTGCCACCATTTTTAAGAATATAGTATATTATAACATATTTCATTGGAAGCTTGAAGCAAATAGACTGGAATCTGAGCAGTGGCTACTCCAGGTGCTGGGATGAGTGTGGTTTTATCCTTTTAAATTCTTGTTATTGGTAATTTAAAACGTTTTCAATAATCATGCATTACCTGTATAACGTTTTTTTTTAATAAGAGAAAATCCATGGTGTCTTTCAGCTGGGCAGTCTGCGACTGGGTAATCTGTCAGGTGAGGGTCATCAAGGTGATCAGGCTGAGAGCAGGGACCAGATGCAAAGTGGGAGAGGCGAAGCAGCCCGGTCCCGGGGCCGGGGGCGAGCGGTGGGCGGTCCGAAGGGCACCGCCCCTGCGGGTCACGTGCTCGCCGGCCACCAATGGCCGCCTCCGAGCCCACCTTGAGGACGGGGCGGGGCGCCTGGCTGGCGTCACCAGGACAACGGGCGTCGCCGGCGCCGTGTGACTTCGGGCTGTGGGCTTGCTCGCGGCTCTTCGGCCATGGTGAGTCTGGGACCCGCGTCCGCCCAGCCGCCTCGCCCTACCCCTGCCGGGTCGGGTCCGGTCCCCACGCCGCCGCCCGCTAGGGTCGGGCGGGCGGCGCCGGGGTCGTGGAGAGGCCGGGCCGCGGCCTGCGAGGCTGCTGGGCTGGGCTGGGCAGGGCTGGGCGGGCCCGGGGAGGGGTAACCTGGGGGGTCCGGAGCGCCCACCTGCCCGGGGGCGACCGCGATGCCGCGTTCCCCGCCGCTGGAGTCTGGGTGACAGCCTGGACCCCCACCCAGTGGGCCGCCGGACGACGTGACGCTGTTTGGCCCGAGAGAGCCTGGGAAGCCACCCAAGGAGGGTGTGGTTAAAAAAATCATACACACGAATATCGTATGTATTTATATTGACACTAAAGCAGTCGGTGTGCCTCCAATTCTGTTTCTATGCAATTATATATAACTAATATAAGACATTATCTTCCTTTCAAAATCATTCTGATAGGTTCTTTAGCACGTGGAAATCAAAATGTTTTATTTTAGAGAACCCTCCCTTCCCTTTTCAAAAATAGGGGACATGAAGCTGGAGGTTTTTTTTCCGAGTGCCGCACCCTCACTAAGGGATTTAATTAATTCATAATTAGTACATTGTAAACGTCTTAAATCATTACCTTTGTTCAGTGAACCTGAGACGGCGTGGGCATGACACCTGGCCCCCTTTAAGCTCGTTTTAAAAACATGACGCGGTTTCACTCGCTGGAGGTGCTGGCTTGAATAGACAAGTTCAGAGAATTGCCTACCGAAGGTATAATTCTCCACAGGCCTTCACGGGGTGAAAAGAAGAGAGGAGCTAGACTCCTTGCTTGGGGACACACCCTTGGTATAGAATACTTGAGCAGGTGTGGGGGTAGGTGTAGGTAATAGGGAAATACCTCGTTTTTAGAAACAGGTTCTTTGTTTTAACCAGGAGTAATTAAGTGGAGATTTGCTCCTTATCTGCAGGAGTTAGTGGAAGTGCTGATGAGCTGAGAATGCAGGGTGCTCCCCAAGTGCCAGCTGGCCTCATGGAGAAAAAAAACTATCATTTGGAATCCTGGCTGGCTCAGTGTTTTTCTTAATAACCAAGGAGAGGGGTGGTGGTAGGAGAAGGTGGATGGTGTCTCTCATTGACTTTGGAAAAGTGGCTCCCAAGTGTGTGGCATTATTGCTGGCAGGAGAAGAACATCACCCACAAATCACAGTGCTATGTAATGTCTTCTTTATTTTGTGTACGTTTCTTTTTTAAATTCTGAATTGCTTTTTAAGTGACAAATTAATTGAGCTGGCAAGAGTTTCAGAAAGTGAATTTTACAAAGATATGAGTGTTTCAAATATTGCAGTCATTTACTGTTATATGTGAGAAAAGTCCTAACAATTGTAGCAAGAAGAAAGAAGATCCAGGAATTAAATTTTCACAGTTCTTTGAAGTCTCATATTCCTCCTGCAATCCATTTTTCTTTATTTTTACTTATTCCACTTCTTTCGTTCTGACCTACAGCCCACCCTCATTCACTATTGTGAATTTTAGAGTTTTACTTTAAAGGCATTTACTGTACTTTTGCATTACTGGTTGCTCTGCTGAACTTGTAATGCTTTGCTTTTTGTATATCTTTAAGCATTAAGAATTAACTCATAGGAGCTTAACTGATTGAGTGGTCAGGTGCCCAGGCTTCCATGGAAGTGGGGAATGGTTGGTATAGGAGGGAGAGGGATGAAGAGGCTGCATATGTATGTCATCCCCAAAACTGTTTTTGTTTGTTTGTTTGTTTGTTTGAGATGGAGTCTTGCTCTGTCACCAGGCTGGAGTGCAGTAGTGTGATCTTGGCTCACTGCAACCTTCACCTCCTGGGTTCATGCAATTCTCCTGCCTCAACCTCCCAAGTAGCTGGGACTGCAGGCGTGTACCACCATGCCCAGCTAATTTTTTGTATTTTTAGTAGAGATGGGATTTCACCATGTTGGCCAGGATGGTCTCGATCTCTTGACCTCATGATCTGCCTGCTATGGCCTCCCAAAGTGCTGGGATTACAGGCGTGAGCCACTGCTCCCGACCGCTAAAGTCTAAATCACATTATACTTCCTTAAATGCTTGAATCTGAACATAAAACTTTAGCCATTGATATAAGTGACTTTGCACATTAATTTTGGAACTATTTCTCAATGAAAATGTTTTCAATTAAGCCATTTATTTCTACTCTATAATGACAGCTAACATATATTGTGTACATATGTACATAGTTATTACTATAGAGGCAGTAGAAATTTTTCTAAGGGTCTTAAATGATCCAGCAACCTTGCAATGAAGATACCTATACCCGATTTTAGAGAAAGGAAATTGAAGTACAGAGAAGTAAAGTAATTTGCCTAGGTCACCGCACTGATACGTTGAGCCACATTCAAAATCTGGCAGTTTCTCTGAGAACCTGTTTATAGATTGTACTGTAATGTATAGTGTATCTTTATAAGTTTCCTCATGTATATTAGGAAATTAGTTCTCTTTCTTATTTGCACTTTAAGGTTTTTGAGCACTTATGAATGATTGTGTTTTGTTCCAGCACTGGGTTAGATACTACAGAACATGGTAGACATGCCTAGCCTTCTCTCCCCTTGCTCTCCTTCCCTTCTTTCACAAAGTTGAAATGGGAAGGAATTAATAAAGACATGAATTAGATCGGCTTTCTTACTCACAGCTTTTTTAGCATTGAGTTTCTCCTGTCACTTCAGTTAAGGAATTGGCATCCGCTTTTTGTGTGAATCACAAAGACAAGTGTTTTACATAAAGCCTTTTGGATATGAGGGATGTAACAGTGTTTTTAAAAAATGTATTCTCTGAGAGTTTCCTAATTTTTAGATTTAGTTTTGTATTCTATAGTTGTCACAAAAAGACTTCAAGGCTGGGCTCAGTGCCTCATGCCTGTAATCCCAGCACTTTGGGAGGCTGAGGCGGGAGGATCACTTGAGCCCCGGAGTTCAAGACCAGCCTGGGCAACACGGTGAGACCCCCCATCTCTACAAAAAATTTGAAAAATTAGCCAGGCACGGTGGTGCATGCCTATGGTCCTGGCTATTTGGGAGGCTGAGGTGGAAGGATCCCTTGAGTCCAGGAGGTCAAGGCTGTGCTGAGTTGTGTTAACACCACTGCACTCCAGCCTGAGCAACAGCGAGGCCCTGTATCCAAAATAAAGGAAAAAAAGGCACCTAATAATTGTTTAAATTTTAATTCATGTGGAACAAAATCTGTTGGAATATATATTACTTGTCAAGTTTTTGTTATTGTTTAACACTTTAGCTTGTAAAGCAGATTTATTTTTTGGAAATAAATAACATTCTGTCATATAATTTTTCATTTTAATTCGTTCATTTGGACTGTCCTATTTTGACACTTCTCTTTCTGTATTTGTGGTCAAGACTTGTCAAAGGTATTGGGAAGCAGAAGATGGAGGGAAATAGTTTTTCCACATTAAAGTGATTTCTTTTAACTTAAGATTTACGGACAGTTTTGGTCTTTCTGTCATTATATGATATTGTTAAGAGAATTTATATGATGAGATCTATGTTAATAGATCAAGAAAAGTAGAGGTTTCCCTATATATTAATTGTCCTACTCATGACAATATTGATCTCCCTTTTGTCTGCACTGTTGCGGGGTAGGAAATAATTTTTAGTAATTGTAACAATAGCTTTCTTTTGTAGAGCCCATTCTCTGTATCTAGTTCTGGGCTGATCACATTTTTCCTAATTCTTCCAACATCCCTAAGAGATTGATGTTTGTTTGTTTATCTATTTGTCTATTTATTTTGGAGACAGGGTCTTGTTCTGTTACCCAGGCTGGAGTGCAGTGGCTCAGCTCACTGTAGCTTCAAACTCTTGGGCTCAAGCAATCCTCCCACCTCATCCTCCCAAAGTGCTGGGATTACAGGTGTGAGCCACTGCACCCAGCCCAAGTTTGACATTATTATTCCCATTTAATAGGCCTAAACTGAGTAGGCAGTCTGCCCAAGGTCACATAGTGAGTGAGTGGCAGAGCCAGGATTTGAACTCAACCAGTCCATTTCCAAAGCCTGGGCTCTTAACCATTACATTGTGGCTTCTTGCCAAACTAAAGATTGTGCCCAGTGCCTGGCACAAATGTACTAATTACACCAAGATTAAGAGTCTTAATGTCTTAGCTGAGTCAGCAGGCTCTTTTAAATTTTATGACAAACTGTTGTTATGTTGTCTAATGACATCCTGAAGGATTTACTGTTTTTTTTTTCTATTTCAGACAGCCAAAGCTTAGGTATGGACAGCCGTGGGTTGGCTACACTTTTACTGCTGTTTTTCCTACCTCACTTTGAATCTCACTGCTACCCTGTGTAGTGTCTACATCAGCCACTGCCTCTTCCAGCACTAGGGTGGCCATGAGAAAGACAGGGATGGACAGGGAGGTCTAAGGAAACAGAACAGGGCATTTATTGGGAAGTTTTTAATGGAGTCAGAATCAAGGTTCAAACCCAGATTTCCCAGTTCTCAGTGCTGCCTCAACAATTGTGTCTTTCCATTGGTATTTTTGTTCTTTGGGGTTTTGTCCAATAAATATTTACTGTGTGCTACTGTGTGCTAGTGTCTGTTCTAGTCAGTGAATATCCAGCAGCGCATGAACCGAGGATGGCGCCTTCTCATGAAACTTATATTCTAGTGTCAGGGAGACAGATAATACACAGTAAGGTGGTAAAAAGTACTTTGGAGAAAAGCAAAGCTGGGTAGGAGAGAAAGAATTCTAGGGCAGGGTTGGAGAGTGAATGAGGGAAGGGAGGTGTTGCTTTTAATGCAGAATAGAAGGGAAGGCCTCTCTAATAAGGTGACATTTGAGTGGAGGGTATGCCATGAGAATGCCTGAAGAAAGACCATCAGGAGAGGGCACTAGTCAAAGGTGCTGAGGCAAGAACATGCCTGGTGTGTTGGATGAGCAGCGAGAAAACCAGCAGGGCTGGAGTATAGTAA